GAAATACTGTTCTACTTCATTTGTAAGTTTTCAAAGCAATAAATATTGCTAATTTTGCATGCAAATTTGCGTTGCTATTAGATTATCCATTGAATTGGGGGCGGCATTGGGCGATATGCCTGGGGAGCGCCTGACGGCCGTGGGGTAGGCAACGCCGCACGGCTCCGCGGCTCGACGGGTCGGCCTACCTCGCAGGCGCCCCGCACGGCGGCACCGGTCGGGGCGGCCCAGCTGCGCGGCGCCCGTTTGTTACCTGTTTAACCCTCTCCTGCTCCTCCCCCGCAGCGGCTGCGCTTCTGGCTGGAGCAGCGCGAGGTGGCGGGGCGCTTCGGCGTCACGGCCCACGGCGACATCATCCTGCTGCAGGCGCTAGACTACGAGTCGGAGGACCTGTTCCTCTTCCACGTGCACGCCACGGACGGCCGGATGGTGAGGATACTGACCTTCGAACAATTTTTACGTTTTACAGTCAGTGGCTTCACCATCTTGATATTTTATGTTACTACTTGTTACTCTTGCTCAGAATACCACGGCGCTGGTGAACATCTCCGTGCTCAACGTCAACGACTGGGACCCGCGCTTCCGCTTCCCGCAGTACGAGTTCTTCGTCCCCGAGCTGGCGGCCGGCCCCACCGTGCCCAACACCAACCCCATGGGGCTGGTCGTCGGCCAGGTGGAGGTCGCGGACGGCGACCGCGGCGACCACATTAGCCTGGAGCTGCGCGGGGACGGCGCCAAGATGTTCGAGGTCACGGCCAACGGCGAGATCGTCCTCCTGGACCCGACCCTGGCCAACTCGAGCACGGTGCACATGGTGGCCGTGGCGACGGACACGGGCATCCCGCCGCGGCAGGCGAGCGCCCCCGTCATCGTGCACCTCCCCGAGGCCCTGGTGCGCTCCGCCAACGTGTTCGCCGCCGGCGGCACGGGCGTCCTGGTGATGGCCGTGTTCGGCGCCGTGCTCGGAGTGCTGGGCATCGTCATCGTCGCCCTGGTCCTGTACATCTACAAGAAGTAAGTTTGCGCGTTCACCTCAGTTAGGTTGTCAGCGCGCGCGCACTATCAGGTCTAATTCGTCGTGCCCGCTCTCCCTCGCAGCAAGCGGCCCAAGTCAACGGGCACACCTCCGGGCTCGGGGCGCGCCTCCTCCAACAAGATGGGCGGCCTGATGACGCCCAACATTCAGCACGAGAAGCTGCCGCCCGCCTCGGACGACGGCACGGACAACAACAGCGACACCCTGGCGCCGACCAACAACCTGCACGTCGACAGCGCCGCGCCCAGATACACCGCCACCGTCAAGAGTAAGTCCCGGACCGTACCGTAGGTGTAGGGTAACACAGCACGTCGTGGCCGTTGGTGACCTCGGACTCACCGTCTTTGACGCTCAGGGTCCTTTGCAGGCATTATGGCGCGGAACGCGGCGGGGCGCGCCAGCCAGCGCCGCCCTGGCCACCACCACCACCACCACCATCACCACAACCACGGCGGCGGCGGCTCCGGGAACCACCAGTGCAGCAACCCGCTGTCGCAGACCAAGCGGAAGGTCGCGCCCGCGCCCCCGCAGGTCCCCGGGACCGTCAACAAGACCTCGAACGTGGACAGCGTCACCAGCGGCGTCAGCTGGCCGCTAGGGTCCATACCCAGGAGAGTGAAGAAGCTGAGCTGGGACGACGACGACGACAACAACAAGGTAAGAATTTAGAAAGCGATCCTGCGGAATTTGTCTGTACTGCATGTGATCGAATATTCGTCGTTAGTTTGGGCGTATATCATTGCCAAGTTCTTAAACTTCCCTTGACTTTTACAGCCCGAGTTGGATCCGGAAGTTAGCGTCACCCCCTTGGGCCAGAACCAGGACGGCAACGCTGATCACATGAACCTCACGGTTTACTTCTGAAAGTGCCACAAGTTGTCTGATTGTGCAATCTCCAATTAGTTCGGCATCCCGTCTTGGACATGGCCCAGTGAGAACACAAAGTCAGAACAGGGTCAAAATGGGGTCTTTGCAGGTCACTTGGACGTCTAAGTCCTTACCTGGGAGGACTAGATTTTGACTTTTAAGGTCAGAATGACTTCCCTTTGACGTCATTTTAACGTAATTTTGACTTGGGCGTTCTCCTTTTGGGGGTCAATGGGGGGTGCAAGGTGAGTCACTGGAGTCACTGACTGACTATTGACCGCAAACCGGAATTTTGGAGTTTCCCAAAATGAAAATAATTTTGCCAAATAGTTTTAAAAACTTTGAATTGTGCAACGAATTTTCAGTTTAGGAAAGGTGTGTAAAATTGGTAGTCAATATACAAGTGTGTACCCCAATCTTCAGTGGGCTGCCCTGTGCTGCATGTCTACAACCCTATTTTACGGGGTGGGTCTTCACCATAATGAGCTGAAGCCTTCTGGGCTGATGTTGAATGCTTTATGTTGCCATACATGCAAAGGTCAATTGCTTACTACTCTGAGTACAATGTAAATTCGATATTAATGGAGTCACTTCCATTTGAGAGTTGACAACCACTATATAAGATATGTTTTCTATATTTATTGTAATTTCTTTTTCTTTCTTTTTTTTTGTCTTCCAACATGTGTTTGATTATTCTTTCCTGTTCAGTTATTTGAAGTTTAGAAAGGTGTTTGTATGTAAAACCAAATGAAAACATTGTATTTGCTATCTGACCATCAATAAGCATTAATGTCTGTTTAATTATTTTACCTTTCACTGAGTGGAAAACTTGTGCCAATAATATTTTTATATTCAGTTAACTTTTTCACCAAGGGAATGTTACTTAATACCTAGTATATTCTGTTCTGAAGTACCTATTTTTTCATATGCTGTTCATTTGTATACTTTTGCACATATCTCATAAAATTTGCTATGTATATTTCTGGAAATACCCTGAGTAGCCCTATCTAAGAACTGAACTGTCTACTTTATTTAATAAAATTGTGCTCTCATTGAATTCTGCAAGTAGAAAATAGTGAATAGTTATAGTGTATATTACGATTCCCCATGGAATAATGTCCTTGTTTTAGCAAATATGCAGAATATTGTTACCACAACGTTGTGGGAAATAAGCTGTGATCTTATATGTTGATAAGAATCCTTGGTGTAAAAAGCATAGAAAGTTTGTCATGGCATATTTAACTCTATTTTCGTTCAAAGTTCTATTCTACCTGAGATATTTTTGTTTTGTTTCGTATAACTGGTTCGTTAAGCTGCCTCCACAGTGAACATCCCCCGAATTAGCCCGAGGGAACATTGCGGGCGTGGGGCGTCAAACGCTCTCTTGCCTGAAGTTCCCTCCCGCACTTTTTGGGGTGGGATGGGATGGCCGCCGTCTTGACTCAGCTGCCTGGCGGGCTGGCCTACCCAGGACGTGGAAGGCGCTGTTTTTAGCGTCGCCTCTAGAACGTTCATTGTGGGGACGTCTTTAGAAAGTGCAGAAATGTCCAATGCCAGTTGAAAATTTTAGAAGTTAACTGAAATTGTACTTTGCAATTTTCACCCTACTATTTATATTTCTTTGTTACTTAGAGATGAGATTGTTTTATTTCAAATGTAAAAAAAGTACTGTTAATCTAGGCTGCTTACCACCTTGATTCACTTAAAGTTGTAAATAAATGTAAATCTTATATTTTAAAAAAGGAACCATCAATTTATATAAGTAGATCGTAGTACAGTCAAACAGGCTCTTTTTGCTTGTTACCCGTTTCGCCGTCATGGTTGGGGTTGTTCCAGGGCTGCTCCTCGGCCGTGCCCCACACCATCCAGAGGGAGTTCAGGATGATGTAGGTGGCCGCTGACGAGTAGAACACGTTACTCCACCCTGGTAGAGGGTCCTGAAACAGTGGTCGGTGCGGTTCAGTGCCAACGCGGCGGGCAATTGTCGTACCTAAGGGATCGCCCAGAAAGTACGTCCGTTTTTTCTCTGGTTTGTTTGGAAAATTACACGGGAGCTCGGCGCCTGCAAGACTCGGGGTAGGCCACCCCGCAGTACAAGCATGCGCTGTATGCAAGATGTTGCCTACCCACCAGGCGCTATGAGAGCTCGCTTGGGGCAACGCCTGCCATTTCGTAACCACGAACGACGGGCGTACTTTCTGGATGATCCCTAAACAGCCGGTGTCAGCTCGCTACCCACATTTCGGTCCACCAACAGGCCCTCGGCGTACGGGGCGAAGGCGCTGACGAACGAGCCGACGGTGTTGATCAGAGCGAAGCTGATGCCGCTGAAGTTGGGCGCGATGTCGATGTAGTTGCAGATGCAGCCGGAGAAGGTGGCGGAGATGAGGCCGCCGGCGACGACCAGGAGCCCGACGGCCAGCGGGGGGTTGGAGGGGCCGAGGTAGCCGACCAGGATGCACAGCAAGCCCGGACCCCACTCGCCTGCGTGGCAACATCACCCTGACTATTTTTGTATCCATTTACATACCAAGTGTCTGATTCGCACCGCCAAACATCTCCTTACCCCCCCCCCCCCTCTTTCCCACGGGTTGCCTGCCTACTCGGACCGTAAGGCGTCATAATGATCAGAGCTAATACATATAGGCCGCAGAGGTTGGCTCTGTGAATCAGCAACTTGGTATATAGTTCGTCTCACAGCCCACACAGATAACTTGGGCTGAAAGGTATTTGGATATACTGGAACCGACCGAAAGCGTTGAACAGTTTCCTGTTGTGTGTGACTGAGAGCAGTTGCTTAGACGTCACCACATCGCCCAACCAACCGAAGAAGATCGAACAGAGCGCCATGGACAGCTGGGGCGCTGCCGAAAGCAGGCCGTTCTGCTCAAAATAATAGGGTTAGTCGCTGAAAAATATCGCTGGAAAAAAGAATGGTGTTTTAAACGTAGTTCAGTCAGCAGTGTTCCTCCTCACCCACTCAATGCCGACGTGGAGCAAGTCCTTGAAGTAGGACGGCGTGCAGGTGATGATGACCCAGTAGCCCCACAGATAGCCGATCATTGCCAAGAGGAGCGTCCCCAAAGCTGGCGACGTCAGTATCGCTCTCCACGGTACGGGCAGCTTCGTCTTCTCCGCGCACTTCATGTTCTGTCGTAGAACGCAGTGTAATGTTTTAAAATTAAACAAAATCGTTCTCGGCTGAACCGGGTTTTCTTAAATCTTTGAACGCGCTCCAGTGTTGCGGGATTGTATACTCGCTAAGCCCACAGGGGCCATGGCGCCTTACTGGTGAAGGGGGTAGGCAAACCTGCAACTCTAAATTAGAACAGTGCGCATTCATAGATACACGTTACACGGTACTTTGGTGTATTCGTGTTGTTATACACCCCCCATCACCACCACCACTTTTATGATTCACACGTGCTCTGTAAAGACCAGACGGTTTTACTGTGGGCCATGTTTGCGAGCCATTGCCGCATGTCTATATTAGCTAATGTATTAAGAAGTAGTAAAGATTTGTTATTTTTGATATGCGTGGCTCTTGATCTTAATCGCATTGTGTGCCGAACCTTTGTCAGATAATCCCGCTCCTCTGGTGAGATTCGTGAGTGTGTGTGGGGGGAGTCTCCCCCAAAGACATACAGGACGACGGCCGCCACGACCCCGGACAAGCCGAAGATGTAGAACACGGTGGGCCACCCCCAAGCGTAGGCGATCCAGCCCGACAGCGCCATGGACAGCACGTTGCCGATCGGCTGAGCTGCAAGACGTAATACGATTCAAAGTGTGTCGAAGAGGTGCCTGTCCAGGAGTGGTTCAAGCGATCATTACCACCACCACCTCTCCACCTCCTTCGGGTGGACTCTCTCAATAAGACGCCAGCAGGATAGGCAAATTGAAGTGCTATCCATTCATTTGTTAGTAGTAAAATAGTGCTACATGAACCACTAACAAGCAGGTCTATAACTTCAAAAATAATATTAAAAAGGAAAAACGACGAGGTAACATACAGGCGAGCACCAGTGATCCCGCCCGGGAACGTTCATCCTCCGGAACCCAGCGGCCCATCAGCGTGAACATGGTCGGGTACATGGTCCCCTGCAAGACAAAGGGCGATAACGCATAGCTCCAATGTTCTTTGAGTGGGTACTTGACATTTGAGGGCACATTGCTATGGTTCCCAGCCAGGAATGAGATTTTGAATCGAAGTCAAAATCGAAACATACCGAAATAGATGATATAATTCCATTGTACCGACGTCGATTTCTCGTCGATCGACGAAATCGGCCAAGATTTCCTGGGGTCTCACCTGCATCAAGCCGGTCAGCACCCGGAGGGCCGAGACGGCACCGGAGCCGCCGGCGGACGCGACGAACGGCAGCGCCGCCGTGATGAGCCCGCTGACGGACAGCCCGACCACCAGGACCGCGATGGACCAGCCGCGCGACGAGAGGAAGCCGCCGATCACCTGGGAGAACATGTAGCCCCAGAGGAAGCTCCCGAGCACGGTGCTCTTCTCCGTCGGCTCCCAGTCGAACCTCTGCGCAACGAAGAAGGCAGTCTCTTAGAGGAACGTTTTGTACTTTATACTGACCCAGTCGCACATGATTTGGAAAGCGCCCAATAAACACAAAAACTGGCCTGCCGGCCGGTAACGAGACAGTCCAGCTCCAAAAGCAAATTCAAAATATACAGGCGACAATAAGGTATCAAAATAAGACTGAAAATCTGCTTATCAAATCTGGAACGTTAATCGGCAATATCGACAACGGCAACCTTTATCAAGACGGGATACTTTCACCTTCGGGTACAGGGACTGTCTATTAGATAAATTCACCCAACAAAAGACAAAATGATGCTAGAATCACCA